GTAAAATGCCTCGATCACTTTGACATAATGTGATTACATCAGTGTAACCCCATAGCTTGAAGTTGGTCGCATTTGGCAAGAGATCATCGGTAGATCGTTGGAGGAACATTGCCAATGTCTTCATTGCAATTAGGGTATTTCATAATATCGGATCAATATCACTCCATGTACTCCAGGCATATTGTTTGGACTAGAAAAAGGCAATATCTTTTAACTGCTCTTCGAAATTTCTCCAATCATCATGTCACGTTTTCCCTTTGGTCGCTTTTTAGAGAAAAACTGTTCGTTCGTACTGTGTTGGCCAGCTCGATTGGTTTGGGTCACTCCCATAATCTTCTTTGTTTGCAGGATGGATTCTGTTTCTTGGGTGGTTTCTACTTGGTGCCAATTTTAATATCTGGCTTTATCTTGCGGGCGAACTCATCGACCGTGTTCTTCATCATCATGTGAAGGCATACCTTCCCGACCTTGAAATCCTCCACCAATGAGGGGAGGGAAGTTGCAGGTTTCCGGCATTGGTATAAAGTCCCACTGTGGAGAAACAGGGGGAACTCCAAGCTACTTGCGTAAGTACTTGTTGATACACTGTTGCGTCTGCAGAATGCGAGACAGAGTAATATCATACACTTGCCACGGCCACAGAAGCTGGGGCAGCAAACCATCTTGGTAGCACCAAGCTTTCAGTTTGCCGAGGTGATTGGTTCTGTCGATGAATTCAAGTCCATCTCGTGCCACTTTCTGCACCTCTTTACCTTGGTGCCGATCAGTCAGTGGAATTTTACACAGCCGTCCGAGGCTCTCTACTGGCTTTGACTGTCTGAATCATGTCACTCCTAATGCAGAAGTGGATCTCCCTGACAGAGCCCCTAAGTAATGATAAACCCCGGCTTTTCTTGTGTTTAGCATTCAATCTCGCCCACGTGAATAGCTTATGGTAGCGCTTCAGCAGTTCGTCGGCACCGACCTTAGACGGGACCAGAATAGTGATGTCATCCATGAAAGCTCTGGAAGAAGGAAGAACCATTTGTTTCTTTAGTCGGCACCCCGTAATATGAATTCCATGGACATAATGAAAAGAAGTTGTGAAATCACACACCCGACCATGACCGAAGCTCAGTTTTATTTTGTTTGGCTGATAGGATTGAGTTCCAAATCATGTGTGAATGCTCCAGACAACCGGGAAAGCCAGGCATCCCAGCCTCCTGGAAAGCTGTGTTTATGTAGGAAGTCCTAGCAGGAAGTCTATCATGCCACGGGCAAGGAACCCTAAAAGTATTTTCCCTCTAAATTCAAGCGGGAGATGGGACGGAAATTTGCAATGCAATGCCCATTGCCTTCTTTTCCTTAGGTATCCAAATACTCTCCGCCGGTACCATTCTATTGGTACAATACCTTGTTTCCATACCAGCTGGAGGAGGAGGTGAGTTGCTTGAGAACGTTTGGAAAATTCTTATATAGCTTGTAGGATATTCCATTTATTCCAGGTCCACTACTGGCACGGAATTTGCGGACGAATTCCTGAATTTCTCTCAGCTTTAGTCTGCTGTCATTAAACATGACCTCTGACTCTTAAGGCCTAGAAAGGTCATTAATAGGAGGGATTGGAACATCTTTCCAAACATCAGAATACGTCATACTTGAGTAGTTTTCTAGTTCCTCCTGTGATATGTTGAGCTTGCTGCTCTTAGTCTCTGTGAACAGCTTTTTTGAAAATTTTATATCATCTGTTTTTGGATAAGACTTGTTTTTTATGTCCATCGTTTTCGTCGATTTATATTGATTATGTTAATTGTATTGTATTTTTAATGAATATTGTCCCGAAGAAGGTTTTTAAACCGAAACGTCAGACGTCGACATTTTATTCATAATTAAAACAAATATAATCACATTCTAAGGATTTTTGTTTGTTTTTCCAGATATTTTCTTCATTCTGTCGGATTTATATCCATTTATATTTGCTAACATAATTTTATATATATATATATATATATATATATATATATATATATATATATATATATTTTTTATATATATATATATATAACTTTATATATATATATATATATATATATATATATATATATATATATCGCAGATATACTACTCAATGTAATATAAAAGAGCTATAACGCATTCTTCATGCTCAACAACAGAAGATTGCGCCGTGTTAGCAGTGAGGATAATACACACACACACACACACACACACACATATATATATATATATATATATATATATATATATATATATATATATATATATATATATATATATATATATATATATAAATATCTATCTATATAAAAACTAAATAAATATCTACTTATTAGTAGTAGTTAGAAGGCTAGTCCTTCAAATTTTAAGTTCTATCCTCAACGTGTGCTGGCTTAAGTCCACATCATGTTGAAACAACGGTTCCCGTACGATCATCGAAGTTAAGCAACTTCAAGCCTTATCAGTACCTAGATGGGTAACCACTTGGCAATAACAAGGGCTGTGTGTCGGTAGGGTAATGGATAATAGCTCAGAATTTTTAATCGGCGAGCCGAGTTCCTATTCCTGTTGAATTCATTATATTCACAGGCAAATATCCTTAGGAAAGGTATAAATACACCTCATCTCCCTTCAGATATGAATTAATTAATAAGACTTGTATCGCACAAACTATATCCCCCCACCACAAAAAAATGCGTACAAAATATTTAGATTTAGCATTAAATAACCCATAGCGCTGTTGGTATGCCGCTAAACAAAAACAAGCAAGCAATATCAACGTATGTCCCTTTTTATATGAAGTTAAATTTGGTTCTCATCGTTTGGAGTATTTGGAAAGAGGTAAAAACAAATATTTTACTTAATTTACTTTATTTAATCAATATGCTGTTAAATAAACCACTTGTCTGAAAATTTGAGAAGTTGGGACAGATGAGAAAACTGAAAGAATTCGTCGTGACTTAATTGGCACAGAATAGTAAATTCATTATTGGATTTTTCGAGATGTGTTTTCCTTTGATGCATATCATATTGCTCTGTATACAATACATTGAGTTCTTTTCATGGATTTATCTTTTTAATATTTTTATATTAAAAAGACCTACTTGGATTATCTTACTTACGGATTTGATACTGTACACACACACACACACACACACACACACACACACACACACATATATATATATGTGTGTGTGTGTGTGTGTATGTATGTATAAACAAATCACTCCAAGCAAGGCGGGAGTGCCACTAGCACGCAAGGGGTTACAGAGAGTGAGAGTAAGAATAAAGAGGGGGGTGTTTGGGAAAAGGATAAAGAGAAGGACGGGGATCAAGGTGAAGGCATCAGAATGAAACAACAGTGAAATTGCCTGGCATTATTTGGACCATTTTTCGCCTTATTTATTCTAATGACACGACGAGTTACTCTCCTTAGTCCCACCGGCGCAAACCTTTACAGCTAGCACCCGCCATGCCATTTCCACGGTGGCAAATCACCTCCATTCCCTTTGTATCTCTTTTATAACACTGGTCTTCAAAATCAAAAATAACCATTCTTGGATAACTTGGGGGCACTGAAAAGAAAAATGATATCCCAAATTGTTGATTGGCTCTAGATTTCAAGATACATATTAGTATTATGTGAATATTTCATCCAAATTGTTGTTATTGCTAGATTAATTACTATTCTCTTAATAACCTTATTATATGTAATTATTTTCCTAATAAAGTAATTAAGCTGGATTTCAAAGAAATTGAGGCAAGCATAAAAATAGATGTTCTAACCTAATTTTTGCGTGCTGATTTCAGATACAAAATCAGTTTTCATTCATCACCTCATTTTTTAAATATACATGTATACATGTACGTAAACGTATACATGTACATGCATTCAACGATGCCAGATGTATTCTATTAAGGACATTGTGTTCTTTTTAAAAATTTGAAATTTTAGATATTGTGTTCTTTTAAAAAAAGAACTTATATAATGACCGCCTTTCTGCAGTTTCTTGTCGCGAAATGATATCCTCTTTAAATTCGAATGTCCTTTACGCATAGATATAACCATAAATAGGATCAATGTTTATTTTCTTTTCCAGATTTTTATGACGTAATACATATCTCTACAATGGCTTTAGACACATAAAAGCACCGCGTATGCAACAACAAGGCAAATACATTCTGTTACGTGTATCTTGACAGTTGCACAATGGTGATCAATTACTCCACTCCTGAGAAATGCTTACTTTCATTTCTGGAGATCAGGACAAATTTTGGGCCATACTCATTTGTTGTGAATCCTCTTACAATGTACTGACTGAATTGTTTCATGGTAAGAAAGCAGTCTTCAAATTTGCTGTTCTAAGGGTCTGGAGAGCGCCATAAAACCATGCAGATGACTTTTATTTTTGTCTAACAAATTGTTATAGTGGAACACACCTATTCTATAGTTAATAGACTCTCCCACCTATAATAAGTAGTAGTAGTAGTAAAAGTCGCTGAGTCGCTCAGTGAGTTGGTCAGTCAGTCGATGCCGGACGACCGTTAGTCGGATACTAAAGTATCAGCGACCACCACTAGATTACTCTGCGTCATTACCTATTATATCAAGTTCCTAACGTTTTGTACGTCGAACCTATTTTAGGACAGACTTAGTACAACTACAAGCCTCCACTGTGAAACCACTCTACAACACAAATATAACTGGTTTCAATGCTTTTTCTAAAAAAAAAAAATATTCCAACACTTTGTCAGCTATGTGATCTGTTCCTGACTCAGATGATCTCTCTGTTCCTACACACCCAGCACATAAACATTTTCTTCATTCATCATGTGTTGAATTGCCTTCAGTAGAAAATTCTGCCTAGTCTGTCTCTTCTGAAAACAATGTCTCTGTTTATTCAATTACAAGTGGCAATGATCATCAGTGGATCACCCAAGAAGATCTGAGTGACTTTGCCCAGGATTTTCACATGTCTAAGCAGCAGTGAGAGTGCCTGTCATCCTGGCTTAAACAGTAGAACCTGATCACAGTAGATGTAAGTTTCAGAACATGGAACAAAGACTTCGCCTCATTCTTTGACATTAAAAACAAGTTGTGCTGCTGCACAAATGTCTCTGGTTTGTTCACCTTCTTTGGCTTCCCACACAATACTTAAGATTGGCGTATTTTCAAGTGAAGTCTGAAGTCTATGCTCCTGTATAATAAGAATAAATAGCCAAGTATTCCCATTTTTTGCTCAGTCGATTTGAACGAGTCATGTGATAATATGGAGCTCCTTTTGGAATCTGTCAAGTACCAGTGGAGTCTCTGTGGGGACATCAAGATTCTTGTGAACATTATGTGTATGCAAGCGGGCATCACGAAATACTGTTGCTTTCTCTTTTACGAGGACCTAGTGAAAACAGTGTCAAATAAAATTTATTTGTGGACATGAACAAGGGGATTCTTCCTCCTCTTCATATCAAGCTTGGCCTAATGAAGAATTTTGTGAAGGCCCTGGAAAAAGTGGTGCTGTCTTCCAACAACTGTGCACTCCGTTTCCAGCTCTCAGTCCACTCGCAACTTACAGTGAATGAGGAGCATGGAAAAAGGTTCCATTACTAAGATGGAAAGAAACTAGCAAGGCAAGTGAAACCCCTATATGATGGAGGACTTCTGATGGATGCTCCTGCGCGACATACTGGAGGTAAAGTATATGAGATCGTCCCGAAAACTCATTTCTGATTCTCTTCTGTGTATGCCTGGTATTATCCAAATAATTTAGTTCCATCAATGCCTTGTATCTTTATGGATTTTTTTTCTTTAATGTACCTTTGTAATAGATAAAATAAACAATTATTTATATGCAGTATAATAAAAATGTGATATGTAAAAGAAAAAAATAGCGGTGATAGAGCAAAAGTTTTCTGAAGTTTGAATTTATTTCATCAAATTAAAAAAAAAAAACGGCTATTAACATGTTTTCCTCAGGGAATGTTTTTTTTTGTAAACCAGTATTATAATCTCGTACGGGCTGTTTTGAGACAAGCAATATGGGTTTCGCTTCTCTAAGTCAACTGCTGATGTATTTATTGCTGAAAGAGATTATCAAGCCTTAGATAAGAATGGTGAATGCTTCAGATATCTCGAATGCGTTTGACAGGGTTTGCCATGCTGGTATATTACACTAGTTAAAAGGTTATAGTGTTTCTGGACATATTTATGATTTGATCCAGTCTTTCTTATCAAATCGCGAAATGAAAGTTGTCTTGAACGGCCACTCTTCTAGATCTTTTTAAATTAATGTGGGTGTTCCCTAGTACTTTTTTCTTGGAGCTACATTGTTCCTTAATTTTCGTCAACGTCTTTCTTGATGTCATCAGTTATTAACTCGGTATGTATGCTAATGACAACTATTTACTTCTGCCCCTATGATAAGTCCGATCGGTTCGGGAAGGGTTTGGGATCAGTTGCAATTGGCAGTTGAGCTAAAAAAATTGACCTGCAATCTGTTGTTAACTGGGGTAATAAACGATTTGTAAATTTTTCGAAACTTCAAAATCGAAATTGTTCTCTTTTAATCGCGTCAGAGAGTCTTTTTTTTTTGGCTTCCATCAGCATGGCTGGTGCTAACATAGATGAGAGTGACTCATAGCGTCTTTTGGATCAGCCAAAAAGATAAAAGTAGGATCAACCAAAATCATAAAACTAGAATCAGCAAAAAAGATAAAAGTAGGATCTTTTAGGCCGAAATGAAGTAGAAAAATTATATTGAATTAATTGCTCGGTCTGCAGCTAGGAAAGTTGGTTCACTGTGTCTTCTTAGACATTTTTTCTCGCTCGAATCTATCTTGAACATTTATAAGTCTACCTTTCATCCATGCATTGAATATAGCTGTCACATTTGGTTTGATGCTTCTGCTATATGTTTAGAGATTCTTGATAAAATCCAAAGAAGAATCTGCAATGTTATTGGTTCTGAACTGGTATCTCGGCTTCAGTTACTTTCCTACCGCTGTAAATTAGCTTCCTTGTGCTTTATCTGTAAATATTTTCAAGCTAATTGTTCTGATAAGCTTTTATTTTTGGTACCCCAACTTTATGAATTTGAGCGAAGTACTAGATTGGCAGTTAGGTTTCATCATTTTTCAGTTATAATTAATAGGCATAACCGTAAGTTCTATGCTAACAGTTGATTCTCTTGCACTTCTCGCTTGCGAAACTTTCTTCTTGATTCTTGCTTTGCAGTCAACTGTGATCTTTACAAATAAAAACCCGGTGTCAACCGTTGTCTTCTTAATTTCTGTTCTTTTATTGCTCTCTCTCTCTCTCTCTCTAATAATGTTTTTCTTTAATTTTGTTCTTTCACACTCAGTAACCCTTTGCGTCTTAGTGGTTTTATTGCCTTGCTTGATGTGAAAAGAATTTTTAAAAAGCTACAAAACGAAAACACCTTGTGTCATGTTCTTAAATAGCCTCGTTAAATTAAGACTTTCATGAAGATATCTTAAATGGTGCAAAAC